TGGATGCAATTAGGGGGAGGCAGCAAGAAAAAATATTACGCAGGTGCTGTGGGATGTTTCTGGAAACTTCAGATGTTGCTTTTCCCAATGCTTGAGATCGTGCTCCCATTTATTGAGTGATCGCTGTTTCCCTGCACTATGGTTGGTGCTGGAAGCTTGGGAAACGTGCAGTGCTGGGCTGCTTTTTACTGCTTTTCTTCTTTATTTTTCTTTCTACTTTTTCCCTTTTATGCACAATCCTATCCCAAAAGTGTGGTTCTTGCAGATTCAGTGGGAGAATCCCTGGAGTCAGGCACTGGCTTGTGTTGAGCTCATTTCTCTGGGCAAAGCGGGCAGCTTCCTTGGGGCATGGAGCCCATGACATGCCCTCTCCTGGGGTAATCAATGGGTTTAACTGGGGGAGAATGCTGGAAAAAGTTGGGCACCGGAGCAGCCTCCCTCCCTCCATTGCCCCCGGATGGCTTTGGGAGCAGTGAGATGTTTGGATAATGTAAATCTATCCGGCTTTGGCTTTTATGGTGCCCAGGGGATGCATCCGTCATGGTGGGGCTCCCTCCCTTCGGGGAGCCGCCAGCTCCACGCTACCTAGAGCCGTGCTGGAAGGGCTGCTGGGCAGTGCAGGTTTCTCCTCCCTGTGGGATTTGTGGCTTTGAAATATGCCCTTTTTCCTTTGCTCTGATGATGCTAAATAAAACCCCAAGGTTTTTTTTTGCAGGACAGCCCTGCGGGGGAGCAGTGCATGGAGGCTCCTGGCTGCCGCCGGTCACTGCCGGCCGTGAGAACTGAGGCTCTTCGGAGGGAGTTTGGCCACTTGGTTTGTTTGGTTTGATTTCTCTCTTTCTTTTTGTTGTTGTTTTCCCTTTGGGTTACGAAGGGGTTCAGACAGCACAGCACTGGGTGGCATCGCTCTGGGCAGACACACATTGCACATGTCCTCAGGGAGCCAGGATTATTTTGGCCAGGATTGAACAGAGCAGCCCAGCCTGCAATTCTCCATCTCATCCAAAGCGGAGTGCAAATGCCAGGCCTCAGTTTCCTCATTTTCAAAATTGTATTGAAAAGTGCTTATCAATAGGTTGGATTTTTGTTTTTTGTTTTTTGGGGTTTTTTTTTGGCAGGAGGCATTCCCACTCTCTGTGTTTCCAGCCCAGGGAACAACGCAGTACAAAAAGCCAGAGGAATGGGGGAAAAAAAAGCAAAAATTGGGAAAAAATTAATTCCAATACTATGCAAACTGTAGAGTGGACCCGAGAGCAGATCTTTTCTGCCTGTTGGCATTTTTAGCGGCTGCTGGCCCTGCTCAGCTCATCCTAATCACTTAGCTGCCATCCCGTGTTAAGAAATCTCAGTGACAATGCATCTTACGCGGGGTCATTTCCTCCAGGGCAGGCTCCTGCTAGCCACAGCCACACTGCAGGCTTCTGTTTAACATCTGCTCCTGCTTCTGCCCTGCCCTTTGGGTCACTGGCACAGCTCGCCTTTCACCCCGCCTTGCTCAGTGGGGACGAGGAGCACCGCTCCCTCCCCATCCCCTGCATCACCGCCTCAGTGCCCCTGCAATGGCTTCTGGCATCTTGATGCGCTCTGAGCCTCCATGAGGGGTCAACCGTGTGGGTCACATTTGGTGGCAGCGGCCTTTGACCCTTCGCTCACAGCTATGGCACAAAGAACATCGCTTTCCCCATCAGACGACTCTGTCTGAATTAGCACCATTGCTCCAGTGCTGCACAGCACTGCTGTGATTGCTGGGCCTGGTGGGGCTGCCTGGTGCCTGCTCTCATGCCCAGCAGTTCAGATGCAGCAGCCAAATGTGGCACGAGTGTAGAGAGCAGTGCAAGCTCAACCCCTTAGCAGATCTGAGAGCACCTCCACTGCATGTTACACAGGCCTGCTGGTAACTGTGGTTCCTGCTGTTCCTGCCTGCTACAATTCAGGGTTTGGCTCCCTACCAAAAGTGATCAGCCTTCTGCTTCCCAGTAACAGAGCTTTGGTAATGACATAAGGGAATAAGGTCCTCATAGGAGCCATGAGAAGAAGTTTCAGCAACAAGTTCATGGCCCCAGAGCCTTGGATTTTCATGAAAACCCACAAAAACATGTTCACAATCTCTTCTCCCTGAGACTCCAGTGTCTCACCTGGGTGAAATCAGAGAATCATAGAATTACAGAATCATTAAGGCTGGAGAGTCCAGCTGTGGACCCCTCAGCTCGTGGGCTGATCCCACGGCCACCTCTGCACGTGGGCAGGAGGATGGGGCATCCCTGGGAAACTGAGCACGTGGTTTTAATTTTCCTCTTGATCCACAGAGAAAAGAAAAGCAGGGAGATTTACGACCTGCCTTCTCCTCCTCCAGGTTTATAAATAGAGTTTATCAGGTGCTGGGCATATGGTGGCTTTTGGGGAACGCCAGAGAGGGATCAAACGCAGTGTTGGTGCCTCCTCCCCTCCCCTTTCAATGTCTCATCTCCTGAGCCCATCTATTAATGGCCACATTAACCTCTCCTCTTCGAGCTGGAGATGGGTTCAGCCATTTGCCATCTGCAGCCCGCACAACCAGCCCCCAGCTCCTGTGTGCCAGGCTCCTGCAGCTTTGATGTCTCCCTGCTTTCCCCCAGGTGCACACATTGCTGTGGAGGAAAGGACTGCAGAGCTCCGTGTGAGGACACCCCGCTCGATGAAAAGGATGCTCGGGGTGAAGGAATGCACAGGGGGAAGGGAAAAGACAAATAAAACCCATGAGGATACTTGCACATCGTCAGCTACTGCACAGGCGTTTGCTCTTTGCATGAATTCATTTTGCACTGCCGCTCGGCACTTCAGGCAGTGGTTTTCTTTTATCCTGGAGCCACTCCTGTGAGGTGCCATGCTGGTTTTCTCCTCCCCTTCTCATGGATTTATAAGAAAAATGGGTTTTCCCAAAGGCTGAAGCACTTCCTGCTGCAAGTTGCACGAGCATTCAGAAAACAAGACACGAGCATTTGTCTTTCCTAGCTCGGAGACAATTATCACAGGATCCTTATCTCCCATCTTTAAAGAGTCACAGCACAAACACAGCGCTGGGCTAATCCCTCCTCCAATCCCAGCCCCAGTGAGAACACTTTCCATCGGGAGCACAGCTTCCAGAAGGGCTGATGGTAGAGCTGTGCTGGGATTAACCTTTTCAGACCCTTCTCTGAGTTTGGAAAGTGGTATTTTATTTATTTATTTATTTTTTTCCTGAGACGTCAAGCCCAGGAACAAATAGATGAGAGAAGTTTTCCAGCAGCCGATGATTCAAATCTCCTTCCCCTTCCATTCACAAACATTTTTGTTGTTTTTTTAATTATTATTATTATTATTATTTTAATTTTTCCACAGATGTCTTTTCTGGTTTCAGCATGGATTTGCACCAGAGAAACTGTTAATGAAGGAAGCTTCAGTAAACAGTGCTGCTTGAGACACATTTGGAACAGTTTTCCAGGTGATATAACTCCACTAACGTCAGCAGGAATGGATCTGGGGTTGGAAAATCATGGTCAACAGAATTGCAAAACGACCAGCTGCCGGCTCTTTGTTTCTTACAGCAAAATGATGAAATGGTGGCATTTTAACTCACGTTATTGAGCTTCTCACACATTCATTAGCTTGGATCTGCCTTTAACCCTATGGGCAGCCCTTCCTCGTGTGCTCCAGGCTCCAGATTTTGATGGGACAGGGTGTCTTCGTGGCTCCCAACCAGATGAATCACCCTCTTCCCACTGCTGCCCAGAGAATACAGGCTGTGACTGAGCACTGCTGGCCCCAGAGAGAGAATCTGCAGCCCTTCTGAGTGCTGACCTCTTGGCCAGCTGGATTTAAAGGATTTGAGCCCAGTTTCTTGACTGCACCCAAGCTCTCTGCTCTTTGCATCCATTGTTTTACACAGTGCTGTCCACATTTAGTTGAGACATCTCCCAGGCTGATACTGTACACTGGGGCAGCCCATTCCCACCATTTCGGATGCCCTGGGGCAGCTCAAATTCTTGCAGTGAGCACAGCAGCTGAGCCTTGCTACCGACCCCATCCATCCAGAGCATGTGCACTCAGCATCACCTCAGTGGTCAACAAGAGCTGGTAGATGCCAAATAAAATCCCATCATTAAAACCCCCAGTGAACGATTTCAATCCATCTGTCTGCCCAAAGCATCCTCAGCAGGGGCTGTGCAATCTCAGGCCATCGCCCCCAACAAGCTCCTTTGAACTCCAACCCACCGGGCCACAGCGGCCACAAGCCAGCCTTGTCTGAACATGGTTTTAATCTGGTTGGATATATTTAATGCACTGACATGTCTTAAACTGGAGGAGATCTAAGCCCTGCCTGGCAGGTGTGATGGAAAGCAGACGCTGCCTCCATTGGCTCTCTGGCTCTGGAGGTGCTGCTGGGAAAATGGGATGAGAAGCACTGGCCCAGAAGTTCCATGGTATGCAAACATGCATCTAAACTGGGTGAGGTGAGGGGGAAAGGCAGCGAGACACAAAGTGACAAAAAACATGGAAAAGGGAATGGAAACCGAGAGAAAAATGGAGGTAAACAGAAAAAGGCACAGAGAGATGAGATGGGGGGTGAGGTGCTGAAGACTTGGAGCCCCCACCAAGTGGCACCAGCTCCTCCACATCAGCTGTTAAAATGAATATCTTGTTTCCAGCAAAACCCAAAACCAAACTTCTTTCCTGTGTGGAGCGCCTTTAAAATGGTGCATTTTCGAAGGAAATTCTTATTTAATATGAACATCCTCATTTTTCAAGTAAAAGAGCAAAGATATCCCCAGGAAAAGGGAGAGACAGAAATTTGCACCTGTTGTGGAAATGGTGAGCGACAGCCTGAAGCAGTGATGGGGTGAAGGAGTCATGGGGGGAAGGCAGGGCCAGCACAGGGCAGCTCAGGTGCATGCAATGCACTGAGTGATGGAAGGGCTGCAGCCAGGATCCACCCCTTCCCAGCCCTCATTTAAGGGTTTGCAATAGAGGTGAGGGGATCGTGCTGGAGATCCCTGTATACCTGAGGCCTTCTAAAGGTAAGCAGATTGTTTCCTCCTCTCCTCTCCTCCCCTCTGTTTCTGTGTCCACAGCTGCTGCATTGAGCATATTCTCACTTGTTGCAGCCTGTGACTTTGCTGCACTGTTGTCACTGCTGTGCTTTCCTCTGCTTTATGGTGTTACAGACCCAAATGCTCTCAATTTAATTGTGTAAAACCATGCCTTAGATAAATGTAAAGCACCGTGGAAAGGCTTTATACTGCTTAATCCCTTGCAGAACCAAATTTTACTTCTTTTCAGACAGCTGTCCATCTCTGCCCAGTGAGTTAGCAGTGGTTCTTCTGGCTGTAGGGTGAGTGAAGCAAAGCTCTGCTCTCTTTTCTGGCACTCCCACAGCTGCAGTTGTCTCTGCACAAAGTCTGTGTGATCTATTAAAGATCTCAAATAAGGATTTAATTTAGTTTTAATAAGACAGTTTGGGGGATGTTAATTAAATTGAGTTATTAAAAGCACATGGGCTGGACTTGGCTAATACATTTCCTCTTTTATTAAGTCCATTAAAAAATAAGGGGTAGAAGGAAAAAAAAAGATAGAAGGAAAAAAACCTGCCTTTAGATGAGGAAATGTGTTCAAAAGGCTTTTTTCCTTTGCTGAATTAAACATGTACTGCGAAGTGTCCCAAGAGATGAACCAAAGAAGCAGCAAGGTGAACTTGAATTCTCCCAGGCTCCCCAAGACATGAGCACAAATCACGCCAAATTGGTGTTGGGATGATGCCAAAATGTTGAACCCTCTGGAACCCAAGTGTCTGATGGGTCACGCTGTGCTCAAACCCACAGTTTCCATGCACCTCTATTCCTGATGTTGGGTCGCTGAGAGGAGTGATGCTGGAGTTGTGCATGCATTGCTGCTGTGCACTATGGCTGGAAAAACTGCCTGAGAGCTCCTTTTCATCATTGCACATAATCTGATTTTATTTTTTTTTTCCAACCTCTGGCAAAAATGCTGCTGGGAATCTCTTTAGTTCAAGGAATTGTCAGGGTGATTTGGTTAAGCCGAAGAAAAACTCCCACGTGCCTTAAACATGACAAATATTTTATTAGCTGGAAGTGTAACCAGCTGTAATTAGCTTAGCAGTCCAGAGTTAATAGATTTATAAGCTTTAGAGGATACAGTGCACTAGTGAGACCTGCCTAGGAAATTCATCCTGTGCCTCCCAAGTTAACCTCTTGTTTCCATCTAGGCTCTTTCTTTCTGAGGTTTGTACTGATGCAGTCCAACCTGTGGAGCCATTCAGAGCATTGCATTGTATGACTCTATTTCCTAATTTCTACTTTTTCTTTCCAGAGCATCTTTTGCTCTTATTAATTGTTCTTATTACCTGCTGTTGTCAATTTAGGTAGATCAAATCTCCCATCTGCGGAGGTTGGGCAGTGCTACACACACTCACATCATTGGAAGGGATAAACATAAGTAGGGAAGGACTTCAAGGTCCTCTTTGTATCCACCCAATATTCAAAATGCACTGGAAAATAGGAGGAAATGCTGGAAGACAACCTTTTCTCTCTGCAAGGGCTCTCTGTCAGCCTGCACTTTTTGTCCATCCATCCTAAAGAACTTTGCCACTGATTTCTAATGGCTTGTGGCATCCATCTGCTTGCTCCTTCATTGAGAGTTTTACAAAATCTTTTTGTATACCTTGTAAGCTTTGGGTTACTAGGTATAGGAATGAGAATGATGGGTGTTTGCTCCTTCATGGCAGTCAAGCCCATTGACTGAGTGGGCAGCCCAGAGCCCATGAGCCTAAGCCCAGGGTCCCAGCTCTGGGTAGGAAACATCTGGAAATATATTTGCCTTTTGTCAAAGCCAGAGAAAGAATAAGTGTGAAGTGACAGCTGGGGGGGCCATGAGCCTCTCCCAGCTGATGGCTCCAGGTGGGATTTCAGGAGGGAATGATCCACTGGTGGCTGGGAGATGGGGAGAAAACAAACCTTGCAGCATTGCAAATGGCAGCGAGGCTGGGGCTGCCCCAGCTGCGTCTGCTGACGCCAGGCTATTGTTTGCATGCTGCTGTTTGCATGTTGGAAGGGGAAAAAGCTCCCAGTGTTCCTCTAGCAATGACTGGACGTGGGGAGTGACGTCCCCACCTGGACCCTGAGGTTGTGAGCTGGGGAAGTGGCATCAAGCAGTAAAGATAATTATTTGTACAGCTCTTGACTAATGAATGGCTTTGAATGGGGGCTTCCTGGAGCGCTTGCTCCACCCAGCTTTTGCAAGGGTGAGATTAAGGTTGGGAGGTTTCTTGTTTTGCTTTAATTCCCACTGCGTGGTAGGAGGGGACCTTGCTGACAGTTGTGGCTGTGCGAGGCACAGGGTGGATCAGCTTTACACGTGCTGGGGTTACTGTTTAGCCAAAAATAAAGGGGGAAAATTGGGGTAAATCATCCCTTTGTGCAGTGCTGAGAGGATGGAAGTGGGGACAGGAGATGTCTGAGCCCTGTCTTGCTTGGCATTGGCTTTGTCATGGAGATCATTGTGGGGACCGCCTGCCTGCTCTCTTGGCAAACATAATCGCTTTGCCAGTGCTACTGATTTGCCTTTTAAATAACAGAAGGTATCTGGGCAAAAAGTCCCATCTGTTGTAATAAATGGCTTTGCTGATGATATCAGAGCAAAGAGCGTAGGTGATTTTTTTCTTTCCTAGCAAACTATGAGTACAGACCTTGTCTTAGTTGAGACATGGCTATGTATTTGGAACCAAAAAGGTTCCACCCTTTGTTTGATCTTGGAAGGAAGAAAAAGACAACTTTGAGTCCAATTCTGAGTCTGGGTTTTGTGCTGGGGCTATACAGCATTGCATGGAGGTAAAAGAACTTGAGACAGCCCTGACCAGGCTGCCTGGTGTGAAGTATGTGTATACTGGAGGAAATACAGCACAACAAAATTTGATTCAGGAGATAGATAAGCAATGCGGGAGATGCTCTGCCTTTAGCAGGACTCATTGCTTTTTTTCTTCTCTGTTTTGGGACGGAAAAAAGCCATCAGGGTTTGCAAGCCAGCTGTGTGCATGCCACGTTACTACTGGGCAATGTTATCTCCCTCTCCAAATTTCAGGGAACTGAAGTGTTTTCCAGAGCCATCTCTCTCTACTGGAAGGATACTGAGGGTTTTACGGAAGCAGCTGAGAAGTGGGCAGGGCTGGATCCTCCTGAGCCCTGTAAACAGGAAGGTGAGGAAGCGTGGAGTTGAGCCCCGGCTCATCCAGGACGTGGGGTGCACACAATGCCGTGCCGGAAAGGGGGGGGGTTATAAATACATGGGGTCAGGGCCGGGCCCTGTGAACAATAGGGACAGGGAGCAGGGAAGAGGCCGGCAGGGATGAGCCAAGGCCACTGAGCTGGCTGCTAACACTGCCCTGCAGCTCAGCTCCAGGGGTTTGGGGGAGTAAGGTATGTGGAGTGGAGAGGGGAACTGCAGCAGCTGAGCTGCTTTCTTTGTAGCGTGGCATAGTGCAGTTAAGGGTTAGCAGTAGGATCATCCACTGCCAGCTCTGGGTTTTCACTCCCGTTCTCAAACGCGGTTGGAAGGGTGGCTTGCTGTGGTGGGATGGGAGAAACTGAACAGGGATCATTTAAGATACCTGTGGCTGGATGGGGAGGACACAGCCTACACATGGTGTTTGGGGCATTGGGATAAACTGAGGTGCAGAAGTCAGCATTTGGCCCCATTGCACAGGCTGCTCCCTCGCATAACCAGTTCTGCTAACAGATTTTTTTTGGAAGCTGGCTGCGTGTTGAGCATCTCCAGGGCGCCTGGCGGGGTTGGCTGTGCAGAGAGCCAGGATCTCAGATCCATGTGATGAGAGAAATGCATTTGGCAGCACTGGAGCTGCTGATGAGTGATGCAGTTATCTCAGCATGGCGGTGCTGGAGGAAGGCAGGCAGGTTTCCATCCTGATCCGGCATTTCCTTGGGTTATCTCCACGCGTTGCCACGGTTCCTGAAGGAATCACTGCTATGATTCAGGAGGCTGCAAAATCATCTGGCCCACCCCATGGAGCCACCTCTGCTCCACATTCATCCTAAAGACGTCAAAGGAAGTGAGCGCCATGGGCAGACAAAGCAGGGAGGGGAGGCCGCCTGCCGGGCAGCGTGCAGAGCAGGTCAGCAGCAGCCACAGCCTCATTTGATAGCAAAACCAGGTCAGGTCATGGCCAGAATTGCAGGAAACATCATCATCTGTGAACTCTGTGAAGAGCTGTGGGCTGTCGTGATGCCTGCCTTCTGCCTTCTCTTACCTGAGCCAAACCAACTACAGGACTTCAGCTGCCCCTTGTGTGCTTTGTCCTGTAGGCTTCTCCCCATCTCTGTAGCCCTCTCCAACAATCTGCTGTCCTTCTGCTCTCTAATCTCTTCTGTTTGCTTGAGCAGCACTGTTGAAAACTCAGTTTGGTGCTGGAATCATGTTATTTATGTGAGGTGCTGGTCTGAGATCATTGCTTTGGTCTCTGGGCTTTGCATGATAGCAGCTCAGCTCAGAGCCTATGTGCCATTCTCCTCCAGGACAGAGACCTCCGTCCTCACCCCCCACCCCTCACTCTCCTCATTACTGTCCCTATTAGAGATTTCATTTCCCACCTCTGTCTTGATGGTGTCTCTGAGGAGGCATTGCTTGCTGTTAATGCCTCTGATCCCTCAGGATTTAGCCAAGTGATGGGGTTAATTTGGGAGGGGGCTGGAGGTGCAGTTCCAGGAGATGGCAATTAACAGGAGACAGCACTTAAGTACCTCAATGCAAATAAAAAAAACATGGGTCCTGGCTCCTGTGGTGTCAAGGAATGGTTTAAGGGGGTTGTCCACAGCCCAGGAGCCTGGGAGTGATTTGGGGCAAAACAGTGTCCTCTGCACCAATTTGGTCTTGCAGAAACACAAGAGCATGCAGAGAAAGGGTCACATCTCAGAGCCTCCCTACCCTAAGGATGTGGAGATTTTAGATTGAGATTTAGATTCTGCTCAGGGCCTGCAGTGTGCTGCAATCAATACAGCCGAGGCTGAAGGCGATTTAATTGTGGCAAGTAATGAACCAGTGCCCTGGGGAAATGCTTGTAGATGGAAGTCAAGGAATTTGCTCAGATCCGTGCAGAGGTGGGCAGTGGGATGATTTCGAACTTGGAGTTTTTCCCCTTTTTTGGAAGAAAAATGTCTCTCTACCTCTATTTCCCCTTAACATGAAAATCATCATCTATTCTCTGTAGGAGAATGGGCAGCTAAATATTACAAACTGCATAATTCCAGGAAAAGCTGCTCCCTTTACGCTGCAGAGAGGAATGTGGAAAAGCAATTTAAAAAGCCCAAGAGAAATAATTATCAAAAGCCACGGCAGCCTGGAGCCGATGGGGCGCACATGGCAGAGCTCAGCCTGGGGCTGCCATGGCTGAAAACGTTTGTGCCAGTAGAGCAAGTGTAGGTGGGTGCCAATACAGCTGAAGCACACATCATAAATTGGTGTAAACGCCCTGACAGTTGAGTGCATGAGCATTTGGTGTTACAAGGTTATGAACTTGTGGGAGTCTTGTAGTGAAATACCAAAGAACCACTGGTGCCTTCTTAATTCTGGCTCTTTTCTGGCTGTTTATTCTTGCTGGGTTTTTTTAGCTATAACTTTCTGGAGGCTGTGGGCGATGCTGTTTTTAAGGTGACTGTGGAGGGTGGTTCCAGCATCACCGAAAAGCACTTTCTGGGCCCTCTAGTGGTGTGCTGTGCTGAGAGCCCGATCTGCCTCCAAACTCATCCTTTAGTCCCACGAGAATAACCAGTCAAGACACCCCATTATTTCTCACGAAATGAGGAGAAAAATCCCAAATCCCCCTGTTTTGTTTTGTTTAAAATTCTTCTTAGAACGCAGCTATGGAAGGAGCAGTGCATCTGCTTGGTTAAAACCCTCCCTCTGCCTCTTCAGAACCAACGAATGCACACAGACACTCATTTCAAAACTGAAAACCCCTTTTGAAAAGACAAAGGTGGGCTGATGCGTTGTGAGGACACCAGGGTAATGGGGGACGCGTGCCTTTCTCTACCATTTGTTCCTCCCATTACGGTTTGTAAAGAAAATAATGTCACAGGGGTCTTATCAGGGAGCTGGGAAGGGACAGGGGATTTGGGAAGAGCTTACGTGTTTCTTTCCAAGCTGTGTTTCTAAAATAAGTTGATGTTTATTTGGTTGCGAAGGAAAAACGTTTAATTTGATTTCCTGTCCATGTTGGAAACAGCAAACATTTTAACAAAGGGGAGGATGGGAAAAGGTGGCTGGAAAAGTGACCTCTGTAGGTGTTTGGGCTTTGTTTGTTGAGTTCACCATTGCTGACAGCATCATCCTCAGCCTCCCTGCCTGCCATACACCAGCACTTAGCTGTGTGTGCCCTGGGGATTTGTGCCCTGCCGAGTAGGGTTGTGAGTTTTGACTGAAATGGCTCTTTCTGGTGGCTTTAGCAGATGTAGGCAGAGGCAGCATGAGCTGCAAAGGCCTTGGGGTGGGTTCTGCTCTCTACTACCTGGGCATCCAGCCTTTCTTTGGGATTTTTGACACCTTCATGGTTTGTTCAGGAGGTAAAACAAAGGTGTTAACATGGATATCCAGGGATCTTGGGATAGATTTAGTGGAAACCTCCCCTCCATATTGAGTTTTCTGCTTAAACAATGCTCTCCCATTCCTTTACCTGTTGGCCTACCTGGGATGGTGCAGGTTGCAGCCATACTTGAGATGTCCCCTTGGGTTCACAGCTGAATTTTTCCAAGTCTGGATGCTGCAGCTGACTGCTCTATAGGTCTAAGCATAAGGGGTCCCAAACCCTTTACCTCCCCAACACAGCCTGCTGGTTTTAATGGATTTCAAATGCAAACCAGCCTGACTGTGCTGCTCTGGCAGCCACGGAAACTTCACATCACCATCCTGGTTGCATTTGGATTTAGGCACTGGAGTCTTGGGAACCACCTAGAGCAGCCAACATCAAAATGTAACAAAGCAAGACCTGGATGTGTGAGGATGGAGGGGTGTCTTTTTGATTACAATAATGGGTGATAGTAAGAGTAATGGTGGTAGTAATGATTATTACAGGTGAATGAAAAAGTGGCTGGGCTGCGCCAAGCACAGCAAGAGGCAGATAGCTGAAGTGTTGAAGGGCATTGTGCCTTTATAGGCTTCTCTTTTGGAGAAGGGAGGATGAGTGGGAAGAGTGGAAGACAAGAAAAAGGGAAGATCTGTCAAAAAAGGCGTACTTGGGGTGGGTTTGCCAGCACACCCACTTCTTCTGTGGGCTGGCATCTCAGGCTGAGTCAGTGCTCCCTAGATGAGTGTGCCCATGGACCTGGTAACCTGAGGTTCCTTTTGGTGCTTCTATATTCCTCTCCACAGTGCTCCTGTGGCGTGCAGCTGCTCCTGAGAGGAGAAAAAGCAGTGCCTGCCCTTGAATGTCTGGTGCAGGCCGTGTTCCCACGTATAAGGGAGATGGGAGCTAGAGCTCCATCAATGCCAGCAGCCCCCACCTTAAGGGCAAGAACAGATTGGTTCTTACAAGCTGGAGGAAACTGGGGGAAGTTCTGTGTTAGGTGCAGCACACAGGAACAGTGGCTTTGGAGTAAATACACACACATACAGATAAATCTTCCTCTTGGAAGGTCTTGTGTGGTGCTGGTCCTGCACCATGGGGTGAGTGTTTTGGTCCCTCCTCTGTGCATGGGGCACTGCACTGTTATTTTGGGATTGCATTACATATCTCCCCAGATGGAAAGCCTCGCTCCCCAGCGGGCTATAAAACAAAAAAAAGGAAAGGTCCTGACCCTATCAGTAAAACAGCAACCATGTTTCTTGGGGAGAAATCCTTTTACGAGGCAGCGTGGAGGAAGTTTGGGGTTGGGGGATGGAGCTGGAGGCAAAATGGGGATCAAAAGAGCTGAGCCTGTTCATTTAGAGACTGGTGAAGGTTACAGCAGCGTGAGGTGGGGATACAATTACAGAAGGGCTTCGTTAACAAACAGCAGCTTTATGTGCAGTGGTGGGAGGGAGGTGAAATCCCAGCCAGCAGGATGCTCTGGCTGCTCAGCACCAGTGAAATGGGTGGAGGAAGGTAGAGGAGCTTTACTTCTTTGTTGGTATTTAAATGGAAGTGAGTCTGCACCACTTGTGTCTTCTGTAGCTGTGAATGTTTTCTGATAGAGGGAAAAACCTCTGTGGCTGTATGAAATCCATAATGTATCAGTGGAAAATGAGGATTTTATTGAGAGCAAATTGTGGCTGGGATTGGTTTCTTCCCTTCCAACTTTTCCCATTAAAAGCAAACAAAACCAGAAGACAGGGCTTCGACATATCTGATCCTGCAGGCTTTTGGTTTCTGAAGAGAAAAAATGAAGGCTGATTTGGGGAACCAAACCAAAAAAGGAGAATTTGTTTTCAGTGGAGGCTTCAGGTTCTCCCAGGAGAGCTCTGTCTGATTGGGGCAGGTGAGAAGCAGGGATGTCAGTGTTCACCTGTTTTGGCTGTTTCACATCTGAAAGTCTGTGATATCTTTGGGTTTTAACAGAACTCCTTTTTTTTTTTTTTTTTTCTTTTGTCTATTTGGCATTTGAGAGGATTTCTGTCTGCTCAAACATCTCTGTGATGTTTTTTAGGCTGCTGGAATGGTTTCCACTAAGGCAGCTTCTCTTCAATGGAGGACACACCATCACGCACAGGAAAATATCAGCTTCCTTCTGAAAAGGGTAACTTTGTCAAAGCATGGAGCTGTCTGCATTTTTGGAGATGAATTTGACCTTTTTCAGCACGTTTCCTCCCCGTCTCACTTTCACTCAAAATTTCCCTGGACACAAAATCATTTTCTGACCAATTTTACTCACCAACCCCTCATCCAGTCCACCGAAGCCTTGAGAACAGCTCCCAAATCCCCCAGTAGGTGTGAGATGTTGCAGCTGTTGTTCAATGAGCAGGTGTGTCCCCATGTCCCAGTTTCTCTGTTTAAGTAAATGATGCTTTTTCACCATTGCAAAGCACCTCTTGACTTTTTATGGTTGCCAAGGACTGCTTGCAACAGCTTTATATTTGTGTTTACAGCCACCTGTACCAGCAGCATTGCTTGGACCCATCAGGGATGCTGCATAGTTTTCCCTGGGCAGCAAAATACACAGCCTTCCCCCAAAAAAGAGGAGGGGGAAAAAAAAAGGATTGCAGATGCGGACAGGAGGGAGACTGTTTATGTAAGAGCACGTGGATTAATTGCAGCAGGTCTTGGTTTTAAACAATATTTAGTCTCAGACACTTTGCTCTCCCCTTTCCCATGCCTGCTGCTGCCAGTTGTGGTGAGGGAGATGTGGGGGCTTGATGGGTGGAATGCCTGAGATTTCCTCTATTTTATCTCCTGACACCTGCAAACAATATTTACCCTTTCCCATTAGCTATTACTGTCCTGCAAAATGATGCAATTAAAGGCTTTGATCTACAAATGGATTAAAATCCACCTCCAGAAAGCAGATTGCCACTGAGACTCTGGTGCTCTCTTCTCTGACCTTGGCCCCTCTCAGCCTATTTGCATTGATCTGTCACAAAGGCGCATCTTTATTTCCAAACGTGATCTGAAGGGAGGACTTAGAGCCCATAAAGCCATTTTCTGCCCTTGGGTTGAGTCATGCTCCATGTTTTTCCCCCCCGTGTAACAGCTACAAGAGCCAAGCACTGAGCATTGCCACCCAAAGGCTGCGGTTCTCTGCTCTGCGTGCCTATTTATTTTGTTTTCCTATTGCTGGGGCTCTATTGCTCTGCAGCCCTTTATCTTGATCTCGAGTGCTGCTCAGCTTCTGGGTGAGCTGCCTGCACAACAAAGCAAAACTGAAGCAAATTGAAGCAAAATGCTGCTGCTGCCTTTACCATGGGCTGTTCTCAACCCGCCCCATGAGCAGAAGTGAGATGGGGAGCTCTTTTCACGTGGACGTGAAACCAACCTCACACGTAACTCTGAGTCACTGTGCTGTTTGTCTTGTGTTTTTTTGGGTGTTCGTGGCAACGCTCAGAACCCCGGCTTGGGCAGACAACAGAAATTTCTGTGCTGCATCTGTGTGACTTTCAGAGAGGTACAGTGCAGGAGGGAGGTTTGATGCTGAGCATCAACAATGCGGTGGCTCAATATTTTGAGAGCTGTGGGTTCCCTGCTGACTGATCAGTTCCTTTAGGTGCACATTGATGAGCCACAGGTGAGTTGCACCAGACTGAAAACATTCAGCCTGCAGCAGAAGTTTGCAATGGCCCAAGTTTTGGTCTTAGACAGCCCCACATTGCAATGGTGCTGGAGCTCAGGGCACTCTTGCACACTAGGATACCACCAGCCCAAGCTGAGCACGTCAATGCAGATGAGCTTTGCTTTCCTCTCTCTCTTTCTCCACTTTTATTTTTTGTGTGTGTGTGTTAGCATGTTACCTGCAGCATGGTTTCGGGATGTGTGACTCAGGAGTGCCTTTCAGCCTGCAGGCTTGCAGCAAGCTGCTCCCTGGGTTTGCAGAGGCACCATCAAAGCCTCTTGGACCTGGGCAGCTGAGTGCCACCACCTCCCAAAACCCTCCCATGGCATGTGGGTGGGAGATTTTGCAAAAGCCCTCGTTGCCTTTGGAGCAGAGGTACAGTTCTGAGTGGTGTTCAAGCTCCTAAATCATCCTGAAACCTTGATGCTTTGTGCTGTATGGTCTTCATGAAATCTGTGATTTATTGTGGGGTTTTATTCCTGCTCCCTCCAGGAGCTTGAATGTGGTCATTACAATTGTGCCTTCTCATAGCATCGTTTTCTGTCTTCTCTCCCTCCTACACTTACATTTTCCCCAAGCAGCTTAAAGCTGCCTGACATTCCTGCAGTCCTTTCCAGTCCCCTTTCTTTTCTATCTCCACCCCTATTTTGCCAATATCTACCCAGAGCTGCAATCCCAAACCACAGGAGGGCTGAAGATGCTGGAGCAGACTGTGGGAAAAGGGGATAAAAAGCAGCAGAGCCAAAGTTTTATCCTTCACTTGGGTGAGTTTTGCTTCTCCAGCCTTTTCCCACCCTGTGCAGCAAAATAAAGATTTACATTAATAAGAAACATCCTCAGCAGTGCTGGGGAGGAGAGTGAGAGGAGGCGTTTGCAGGCTACAAAGTTCCCAATATTTGCCCCATCCGCTGTTGTGCATCTTCCTGGTGGGATCAGATGGGATCTTATCCCATTACATCTCCAGAAATCTTTGTGTTAACGTTTTCCTGGCTGCTACTTGGGGTTGCAAATGCTTTGGTGGAAGAGGAGCCTGGCTCCCATTGGGATGTTCTCCAAACCCCGTGTACCAGCGGGAGAGCAAACCAACCCTGTGGTGTGTGTGAAGGACCAGCCCAGAGCACTGGTGCTGAGCTTCCATCCACCAGTGATTTTATTTAAGGATATTTTTTGCACCCATGAGTGAGTTCCACACCTACAACTCACCGCCAAGCTGTGCACCAAATCTGCTCTAGACAACAATGCTTGGCTGAAGCTGCCGCTAAGCAACACCAGCCAAACATACACTAATGAAGAGGGGAAACAATTCCTGCTCGTGCCTATTTTTAAAAGCTGCATCTCCACAAGGTTGTTAATTATAGATTGAGCTGCAAGCAGCTGGAAGCAACGCCAGCCATCCTGCACGGCTTTTGTGCTGTGCTTGAAGGGGATTTGGGAGGATTCTGGGCTTCATGGCAAGGGTGCTGCGTGGTTGGGATGCAGGGCTGGGGTGCTGGAGGTAAATGCTGCCTGCAGTGCGGCAGGGAGGCCGCCCTGGGGCTGGGGGCCTGTTTATTGGCAAGGTCCTGACCTCCCCTGTTTATGACCCCCCCGGGACCTCGGCATGGAAACAGGATTTGTAATGTAACACTAACAATAACACAGCGCAGAGAGCCGTGACAGGGGCATTTTCTCCTACACGCTGCAGCTGGCTCCCAGTAATGGAGAGGTGAGGAGGAGGAGGATGCTCAGCGTGGTCACGGCAGCACGCCTCAGGTCAGGCCCTAACATAGGCTTTGAGCTCCTTTAGCTACCAAACCGTGGTGCATCACCGTGCCTTGCTGAGCTCTGTCTGAATGAGGGTTTCGCTTAGGCGTGATGAGCAAGTTGTTTCTTCTCTGGAAACGTGTTGCTCTTCCATCCCCTTGGTACTGACAGGATAAGGGAGGGAAAAAAAAAAAGGGAGAAGGAACAAATTCTCGAATTCTGGAAATATTTAAGAGGAGAATCTGGCCCAGTGCTGCTTTGGTGTTGTTTTTTCAGACCTGGAAGTGATAAAGAGGAAAGGAGGCAGAGAAATGCTCAAGTTGCAGGCAATTTTTTCTTCCCTATTAGGTAGAAAACACGTGGGTAAATGGTTTTTGCCCCCTTTGCTTTCATCCAGGAGCTGTGACTCAGTGCAGCCCAAGCCCTCCGTGCCTCAGTTTCCACAGGAGAACATTGCATAGATCCCATCCCCCACCTTCATATGTTCCGTGGCGTTGCTTGTTGACCTCTGTTAAGGCGCAGGAGGGGTTGAACCACAGGAAATCCAATATTTCTACTTTTTTCTGCTCTTCTGGGCTCATGGGTTCCCATGCCCGGTTGGAAATCAGAGTCTTTGTATGTAAAAGCGCAGCTCAGGGTACTGAGCCTCTCCTAGGGCAAATCAACACTGAAAAGTAAATGCAAACCCATTGTGAGCCCTTCTGGCAGGGAGAAGACCCAAAGATCATGAGCTCATTTTATGCATCCTTTCAGAACAGCCATGGTTTTCTGAAAACCAGAGGTGCCTCAAGGTCATGTTTTTGAGATGGAGCCAGATCGGACAGGTCTAGAAACCTCCTAAATTAAGATATAAAGAAAAGAACCCTGAGTCTCATCTCTATCACATGTGGGATTCCGGGAATCAGGGCAGTCAGAAGAACAAGAAATAATAACGTGAGACTCAAACCAAAGTCATACGACCTGGCAAAGATGGGTAAACTCAGCAGGCTGACAGATACAGAGAAACTTCACTCAGCTTTGGAGGTTTTTTGTTTTTTTTTTTCTTCAAAGTTCTAGCTTTCATTGAAACAAAGCCAAATGACATTTTCTTGTGATCTGGAGATACAACTGAGATGCTCCCTGAATCTTTCTATACTCCACACAAGGCAATGAGGCTGCGATACCTGCAGGCCCACCCAGTGTACCATGTCACAGAAACACATCCCACACCCCAACCCTATTTCCATGCACAAACTCCAGGTCCCATCCCTGCACACGTTTCCTTTGCGATGGTGCAGAAACCTCCCTCTTTCCATGCATCACATCATCATCTGCTGAGGATGCTCCTCACCCCGTGGCTTTTAGGAGGCAGGGGACTTTTGGGTTCCCTTCTCTTCCTCCCCCCCTGTTCCTCCCACGTTCTTTCTCTTGGCACCATCTAGTGGCTGCAGGGGTGGAGATGCCTCTCCTTGCTTTTGGGTTGGGTGTGCAAGCCAAGGCTCCTTTAAAACAAGCTGAAGTTGGAAACGTCAATCTGAAGGAAGGGGATCTGACTGCAAGGAGAGCTGTGTCCATACCAAAAAGGACCCCAAGATTTTCTCCTCTGCTCTGTGCTTGTTTTGCCTAAGTGGAGGATCCATGCTGACAGCGA